TACTAGTTTTTTCTGAAATTTTACTAACTTAAAATTCTAAAATAAAAATAAAAATATTCTGCTAGAAATGTAAAAAAACGCTTTACTGATAAGAAACCATTTTTTATGCAGCATAAAATTTAAAAAAATTAAAAAAAAAAAATTGTGTTCAGATGAAGAGCAGAATATGAAATGCATCATGGAATTCATAAATATTTTAACAAGCATTTTTCTGTTGCCATTAAAAGCTTGGTAATATTCAAGAAGTTTTTTTTAATTTTTTTAAGTCTATAAAAATTTTCTTCCATTAATTTTTTTATTTATATTTTTACTATTATTGCTATCTCCAAGAAAGTTATGGATCAATTACAATTCACGCACACGGATATTGTTTTTTATATTTAAATTTAAATTTCTAACACAAAAAGTCAACTTTGGTAAAAGAATATTAATATTTGCTTTGTTTAAAAATCCAAAAATAAATTTTGGCAGTTGACCCAGACAGAGCTTAAAGCTTTTCAGTACTATTTGTGGGCAAAATTATTACTTAAATGAACTAGAATTTACCACGACGAAGCTCATTAGTGAAGTAAAGAAATATTTGGTCGTTAAAAAATTGCATATTTATGTGTGATGATTATATTTATTGTAAAAAAAATAAAAAAACTCAAATGCCATTTTCTACAGCTAATTTGCTTTACTGTGAAGAGACCACTTAGGGACTTCTTTAGCCAAAAATATTATTTGTTTTGTTCTTTTGTATTATTATCATGTTTTGTTAAGACTTTTTTTTATCACATTGCATTTTGTTTAAATAAAGAGTTGAACGAAATTATAGCCCCTTGTGCGTTGTAATTATTTACTCAGCCTCAGCTTTCTATTGAGATAGATTTTTGCAGGACATGCAGCGCAATATGGGCATAACATGAAGTCCGATAAATTGATGTGCTGATTTCAGAAACAGCTCTAACTTTAACAGTTTTTCCAAATTTAATATTTCACTTTAGAATTTATATTTTAAAACCGACCATTGAATTTGATAAAATATGTAAATTTTAATTTGAGAAATTAGTTTTCAATTACAGTTATTTATTATTAACAATTACTATTAACCTTATTATTAATAATTTTTTAATATTTTATTTTTCAAAAATAAAATTAATAATTTTTCGATTTTCTGTTTTCTTCACTTTTGAAATTTGCATTAGAAATATTAATAGAAGACAGCATTGGTAAAAGACATTTGTGTTTTTTGTTTTGAAAGAATGTGAAAATTTACCGATTAAACTCATAAAAGAGAACATAAAGTATAAAGATTGTATATAAACTTGTCATTTTACATTCGCGAAGGATTCATTCAGCTGCGATGTACCCCTTAATTACAACATAATAAAAGTACTTACAGCAATTATACAAGTAAAATTCTCTTTTGTGCGGTGGTTAAAATTCTTGAAATGAAAAACTACTGTCTTTTCATAACACTAAAAGTTACCGTAAACAGCTTGCTGTGGTAAACAGCCACTTGAGGTTAAAATATTTGGCTTAAACTCATGAAATTGCATACATTTTAGCGTTGATAATTACATATTTCCAATAGGAGTAATATAAATTTGAACTAACCCGTATCGGTTTAATTATAGTTATTCGGTGTCTGCTAATTCCGTGTAGAACACACCATCACTACAAATATTCATCTTTTAATTGGTTCAGCTCCCCATCAGTCTCCTTTACGTGGATCGATCGCTACAATTTTGCACACTATTTCTCTTTATGCTCATCTTGTTACCCACAGATTGACAATGATGAGCCCATAGCCGAGTAGCTAGCATTGTCTACTGTCGTTATGAAGAACCAGTACTCGAAGGTTCGACCATTATTCAAAGTTATAGTAAATTCAAATACCCATCGGCAGGGAATGTCAAGCCCTTGCAGTATATTTCTGACATAAAATAAAAAGCACCTCATAAAAATTCAATGGCCGTTCGGAGGTGGCTTAATAATAACTGTAGGTCCCTCAATTTGTTGAAAAAACATCAAGACGCTCGGTCGAAAATCGCTACACCGGTTACAAAGCGCCAAATTTCTACATATATACCATGAATCATGTCTTTTATCTTTTGATAATCCGAACCGGCGAAATTAATGCACCGCCCAAAGCTTTTTGCGGAGAGCGTTGAGGACATTGAGCATTCCAGAATCGGTGCTCATCTAATAATTTCTAAGATCGGCACCGTATGGGGTTCTTAAAAGTATACTCTACTTGAATTAGCAGCACTTCTAATTGATAAATTATAACTATTAAATTTTTCATTAAAATATAATTCCTTAACATTTTGGGCGAATTAGACTCTTCGCGAAAAAGTTGATTCGTTTCAAAGTTTTACGCAAAACACAAAATATTGTTTTGTTTTAAGTTTTAATTTATAAAAATATATTAGTTGGCTGCAATTTGGATTATTTTTCTACATTTGCTTGGAATAAATTCTGAAAATATAATATTTTTAAAATCGCTTTTCAATATTTATGGCCACTCTCTCAAAACATTATAAGATAAATGTCTGTATTTATTGTAAATTTCTTCCATGAGTTCTGCTAAAAAGAGAATTTTTTCTAGCGAAAAATTTTAGAACTTGAGAATTTTTAAAAAAAAAATTGAATTTGCCACAAATTTTCTACATTTTTAAGGAATAAAGTACTCAAAAATACCCTGAATATAATACACAAAAAAATATTAAAGACTGCAGCTTTCTTAAAAAAGATTTGAAGAAAAGTAAAACAAAATCTTAATAAAAATATATACTTTTACCACCAAAAAAGCAAAAGCAAAAAAAGTCAAAAAAAAAAAAAATTTTATACAAAAACAAAAATCAGTTGCCAACTCAAAAATTTGCATTATTTCATATGCAAATTTTTTATCGAAATTTTGCTTGCAATCGTGATATAAGAATTTAATGATAGTCTGGCGCTTGGTGACAGAAATATGATGTAGTCACATTGTTGAAGCATTTTTCTTGGGCAATTTTTGTGTCCATTCATTTTTTATAGATTATTTATATACCTTTTCGTGGCTCAGAACAAATGTAAAACTTTGTTGATTTCGGCGTTTTAATGGACCCAAGATAAATTTCCATTTTCAAGTGTTAAAAGCTAAAAATGGCATTACCTTGATCAAAAGATGGTCAAAAGATGCCCAAAAGATCCTTATAGAACTAAAGCATTTTATACAATTTTGTTGAGGCCTAAGATATTCACTGGGGTGGAACCATAATTATCAAGTTCTTTTCAATAAGAAATAGAATCTGTTTAGAAATAATTTTTACTTTTTTGCATTAAGACATATCTGATAGAACTCTACGATAAATCAGGATTCCCATATACGATATACATGAATATAATTGGCGCTTAGTAACCGCTGGAGTGATTTTCGGCGCTATTTCAACCGATCAAGGCTTCTAAGTCTACCTACTTTCGCAAAGTTTTGGCATATTATGCGTAGTCAAACCTCGTGAGGGATCAAAATATAGTTCATGGCTCTTGTTTGATGCAAAATTTAATGTTTCAACTCACAGTTATGTAAAACAAATTATGAACTGAATGAACCGTTTCATCGATTGTGTCACACTCTCAGACTCACTTTTTAGCATCAGAAAAGCTATTTTTGCTTCGTCAATAATGACATTTTCAAAATCTATAACTACTAAATTTTAGCTGTTAAACAAATAAGTTTTTTTTTATAGCTGAAGAGGTTGTAAGCAGTTAAAGATAATTCACGTAGGCACGTTAATTAATTTCTTTTTTCAATATCTAATTTTTTTCAATAAAAGCTTTGTCTCTCATGACTGGGGGATCAATCCACAGTCTAAACAACTAACTAGCTCAAACTAAGAGCTTATTTGATAAGAAATAATTTTCCGTGTAGTGCATATGCGAAATATCAATTTGCTTTTAAGTCGTTGGATTTACATGAAATTTGGTTGGGTTCAGAATTAGTTCTTTGCCTAGATTCGCACTTTCTCTATTGGAATGTGAAGTTGAAATGAGACTTCAGACAAATAACACTTATGGTTCCAGTTACTCAATATTAAGCATAGATTGGATCCTCGGTTAATATGTGGAAACTATTCATTCCAACAAGTGAATCAGTGATCGATTTGCCTGCAACCATTGGGGTTTTGATTCGAATAAACCCGACAAAAAATCTTACAAGAGCCTTAAATTAAAACTTAAATTCTATGCCGACGAAATCGGGGGCGAACTCTTTTACTGTATAAAACAAAGAAATTTTCATATTCTCATTTTTTTCTTTATAAATTAACTTTATTTGGAAAATTTTTTTTTGCGTTTCCATGTTTTTCAATGCAAGGAAGATGAATTTTTTTTGCAGCAAGAAAAAAACGAAACACGTTTAATGTAAGAGAGTGTCGTTGCTCAAAAAAGACACACGCGTGTGCTCTTTGCCTTAACGTTTTGGGGTATGTAGAGAAGGGATATGAAGAGTTTTATGAATTTATACTGAATATAGCATTTTTAATTATATTTTTTTTCGTAATTTTTTTTTTTACAATTTTGCGATCTTATGAAATTTAATTCGAGCTATTTTTAAATTTCTTCATAATTTAATTTTTCCACAAAATTTACAGTACATAAAAATTTAAAAATTTATTAATTTTTTAATTTAAAGTTCTTCAAATTTTATTCTATGTGATTTCAAGCATTTTGGTAATTATTATGTCCGAAATGGAAAAAAAATATTTAAATTTCATTTTGCCCTCATAAATTTATACGCAGCTCAGTTAAAAGCGCGTTCTGAAGCTTTGCACGGATATATTAAATATTATCGTTTTTTGTTGAAAACTGCTGCGAGAAAATCTAAAATTTGTATTAAAAGTGAGCACAAAAACTTAGTAAAACAACTTTAAATCGTCGAAAAGTAAGCGTATTTTAGGCCAACAAATATTTTATATGAAAGCAAAAACTTAATTCATTGCAAATAATTTTTATTTTAGTTAGAACTTCGAAAAGCTCGGCAAGTGTCCTGTAGTGTTAGTGCAAAAGACACGGGCATTACAGCAGTAAAAGCAGTAAAAAAGATCTAAATTAAAATAAAATAAAATAAATTAAAGTGACTGAGACTCCTAAAGAGTTTGAGTGAACTCAAACCCCAGCGCAAAAGCTCCCAGTGTAACTTTTCAGTGAGTCTGTAATAAAATAATAAAAATAATAAACATAATGTGAAATAAAAAAAAAAAATAGCGAATCTTGTAATTCTGCGCTGTCATCACAAAACAGGAAGTGCCAAGTGAGCTCGACTCATTTTGCAGCTGATAAGTGCGCAACAAAAACAAGAAAGTGCAAGAGAACCGAAAAATATAAAAGAAAGGCAAAGCAAAGTTAAAAACAAATAGAATAAGATTGCACACAATACCAAAGGAAGCTAAGTGAAAAAGTGAGTTGGACACTAAACAACAACAACAACATTAACAACGACAACAACAACAACACCACCAAGTGGAGTTAACAAGGCAGGACGAACTTAGAGGCACACAAGACAGTCAGTCCGTCAGTTAGTTAGACAGTGAGTCAGTCACAGTCTGCATGCTCGTTGAGTCTCAAGCAGCGCAACGCAACTACCCAACCACCCAACTAACAAACTTGACGAACAGACAGACAGACGGACAGACAGACAGATAGATAGATAGACAAGAGTTGACTTAGACAGGCAGTGTGCCTAAAAGAAGGTGAACTACCGACGCATCCTACATACAACATACAGCGTTTGCCTCATAAGAAATAAGGACGAAGGCAAGCCAAATCGTCGAGCCTGTGGAACGAGCTACAAGTAGTCAAAGCTAATAATACTACTACTTGTAAGTGTGTCCGTGTTTGTGTGTGTGTGTGTGTGTGTGTGTGTGTGGCGTATTTATGTGGAGGTGAAGTAGAAAATTTTGTCTGCTTGCGAAGCAAGCGACAGGTGAAACGAAGAACGCGTGCGCATATACCGCTACACTACAATCCCCAGGAACCTGCAGACACGTAACGCAAACAAAACAGTGGAAAAGAAATGATATGAAACAAAAAAGGCAAAGAAATAATATAGAATAAAACACATAAAGGCTAAAAATAGCCTACCAGCCAGTCAGCTAGGTAGTCGGGTAGTCGCGTAGTCAGGTAGGCAGGCAAGCAGGCAGGCAGTCGACCCAAAAGCGTTGTAAGCCAAATACTTACTTGCATACATATATGTAAATATAAACAGTTAGGTGTATATATATATATATATATATGTATGGTGTTTGATATAAGTGGTCGCGGCGACGGCGGTGAGCAACAAAACTAAGCCGAAACTAAATTGGCGGAAAGCAAATATAAGCCAAGAGACTTTAGTGTTGCGCAGCGAAGCTTTGGTGAAATTATTGTAACATTATTATATGTATTGCCTTTGTGTTTTTATGCCATAACAGCAATTTCGCGAGAAAGTGGAAAGTGCAAAGGATAACTAAAAAAGGAAAAAATTAAAATAAAAACAAAAATAAAAGAAAAAATCAGCACGAAGAGAAGTAACGAACAAACGAAAAGTGGTAAAGTAAAAAGATAAATAGAAAAGTAATGAGCATGTCCTGTCGTAGTTGAGTGAAGTTTAGTGACTAAACAGTGAACGAGCAGACATTTACGATGCTAAAAAGTGCTTAATAACTACAACAACAACAACAACAACAACAACAGCGGTGCTCAAAACTAACACACACAAAAAAAGCACAAAAGTGCAAAGAAAGCTTAAAAAAGCAACCGAAAACAACTGAAAACAACAAGCGTCGCATTTTGGCCGTGTCAAAACTAATAAAAAGTGAGTTATAACGATACACTAAGTGCGCAGCGCGTGAGTGCAAAGTTCTACAAAGACAGGTGGAGCACAAAGAAACTCCACTGAGGTCAAAAGCCATTGTGAGACGTGCCACGCGAAGGAGAGTGTAGAAGAAGTGATAAAAAATATATATAGAAACTGGGCATTAACGAGAAAGGCCAACTTAATGAAAAAGGATCTCTAGAGAACCTTCGTATCAGATAACAAAATAACAAAAAAAAAAAAATAAAAAAATAAAAAAATAAGAAAAAAATACCAAAGCCAAGCAACAGTTTGCGTGTTGCAAGTACAACAAGGAAAGCAGCTTCTAGCTGTGCTGGTGAAAGTCGGTAAGCACGTAAGTAAGAAGCTTAAAATAAATCTCGCATAAAACGTGTGAGAAGTGCGTGTTGACACTAACAGTACTGATATACGCATGTATGTATGTAAATGTATGTTAATACGCATAAGCACACTAACACAAGTGAATGTTTTTTAGTAAACTACGCGAAGACAACGAAAATAAAGCGCGACAGACAACATAAAAATGCAATTAGGCAAATACTAAACTTAGACTCAAGGAGCGTAGAGAGCGCGATAGTAACAAATACAAACAGTTAAGCTATAAATGAAATAGCAATATAACTCGACGTAATCAAATGATCAGAAGACGAAACGAAAAACGAATAACGAAAAATACGAAACCTAAAAGCAAACAAGCTCACATAAGGCTGAACAGTTCCTCAGAGACTCGTCAGAAATAGAAGAAACAAATTATTACGTGAACTTCACCAAAAGACTACCGCCATTTTAAGAACATAAACATTGCTAAGGATCTTTGCGTTAGTGAGCAAGCAACAAATAAGTACAGCGTTTACCCGGTAAGAAAAATTCATACATATATAGAGTTCCTCGAGTCGGTGTAGGTAGCCAATCTTACCAATCAAATACGCTGCCTGATGAACCGGTGCTAAATAAAAGCAAAACGACATACACCTCAGACGCGGCAGTTAGAGTTACACTGTCTGCGACGACGAGTCGACCAACGGGTTCATTATCGATTTTGTCTCCACTGACACAACATAACAAGATTGCTGTGGTCTGGAACGAGACGAGGCAGCAAGTGTTATAAAAAAAAAAAAAATTAAAAACAAACCAAAGAGAGTACAGAAAATAGGCAAGGCGCGCAGTGAAAGAACTAAAAGTTCTTAAACGAAAAATTCTGGTAGACAGCGCTACAGACAGACGCACAGCAAACTAGACGGAAGACGTAAGCAACCAACTAAAGTCTAGTTCTGCGTGCCAACAGATACATATATATATATATATATATAAATATATACCGCGTAACGGGGTGTTGGTAATGAAACCTGCCTGTACAGTGTAAGGCGGAAAGGAGAAGCTAGAAACAAGCCACAATCGCCGCCGTCGAAACAATCAAACGAACAACCAAGCAACCGAGGTGAAGAAGAAAAGTCGAAACTAGAAATATATTATTGTAATCGTTTGGCTTAGAGTAGCAATACGACTGAATACTGAACAGCTCGACTGGTGAGCCAACGAGTCAACGAGTCAACGAGCCAACGAGCCAACGGCCAAACAAACAAGCGAACTCACGAACTCTCGAACAAGCGACAGTTGAAGTCTGTGAAATTGCCATTTCAACGGCGTATTTATCGTGCTGCCACACTGATGAAAGGAGGAACCAAAAAATAACACCGTTTGCTGGCTGAAGAATAAAAACGAAAACAAAAATATATAACGGTATTGTGAAAAAGTAGTTAGTGGCAAATAGAAGAAGAAGCGAACCAAATAACGCACATCAACAAACGGAAACAGTTGAACATAAAACCCACAAAAAGCCATTCAGCAAGCCAACGAAAATCAACGGACCGCCAACGAGACGTACAAACGGAAATAGTCTTCAGAAAACAAAAACAAAAAAGACAGACGCTAACGGAAACATACTTTCTGGCAAAAGATCAAAAAGCGTCCCGTTAAAAAAAAGTGGGAATCCGTGAAAGCACACAGAGCGTCAGGCAAAGCAACCCACAGGATACGATAGAGTCGGCATACCATACGCTACCAATCAACAATTTAACACAACAAAAAAATTGAACAAAAAAAAAATCAGAAATCAGAAATCAGAAAAAGCTGGTAAATAGGCGTACGACGTTGGCAAAGAAATTTCCGCCGTGCGAGCATAAGAAAAAGAGGTAAACTTCTCGGTCTGTTGATAATTCATTGACGAGCAACAAGAACGTATTGGCGCAGAGCCTGTTCGCCGAAAGCCATAAACCAAGTTGTTTCACGCGTGCCACCGACGTGTGTATAGCAAAAATATAATTACAATTATAATTACAATTTACCGAGAGACTGTGAGAGAATGAAGACTTTAGTGTGCAAGTGAATTGCTGCTTAGACTTGCTTACGTAAAACAAAAAACGTAAGCGCGCCCAAGATCCATAGTACCCTTGCATAGAACCACAAAGCCGAAGTAACGTAGTTGAAAACCTCTAGAGATTCTCCCACACACACTCGTACGCACGTCCGACACAAAGGAAAACACGCCGAACCCAAGCCCAAAATCCATCTTTGGCAGCACCTATCCGTAACGTCTCCGAGTACCCACACCTACACACGTAGTCCCGAGTACATATAAAACCACCCGGTCAGTAATAACGAAAAATCACCAAAAATAGCACGTATAATTGAGCGTTTGCGTCGCATCAACAAAAAGAAAATGTTCTACTCGCTCGTGCAGACCTTCGTTTGCGTGCTGCTCATACACGCTGGCATTTATGCATTGCATTTGAATGGCCCCAGCGGTAACAGCAATGGCGCGGGCGTGGGTAGTGCAGGCGGCGGTATAAACATGCCAATGAGCCACCGCGTTAGCGACGCCGCGCAGCTCAATAATGCAGCGAATACCAATCAAATGCTGAATATACTCTCCGCAAATCAGCATGCGCAACATCTGCATGCTGGCGGTGGTGGTGGCGGTGGCAGTAGCAATGGTGGTGGTGGTGGTGGTAGCATTAGCGGCTTCGGTCTGCAGCACGCACATGGCAATTCCATTGTCAGTCAGTTGGAAAATCAGGGTCGCTTAACACAAGAGTTAGCTGATAAAGCGCAGATCGAACGAGAACGTCTCATGCTGCTCGGTCTTGTAAAGCAAACAGATGAGAATGATCAGGGTCGGCCCATCATTACCGGTCGCATACAGATGAGTCCCGTCGATGAGGTGGAGAACGATTATCAGGCTGTCATGTTATCACGCGGTCCACTCTATGGCAGTGTTGTGAAACAACCTACCGCCAGTGAGGATGATGAATATTTCGATGAAGAGCAGCGCGAATATGCAAGCGGACGCTTGCGAAACGGTGCACATGGACGACCCGAGAAGTATGAATATGGGCGCATAGTAGAGCCCGCCGACCGTGAAGAGTATGAACGTGAACGTGTGGAACCGCACCATTTCGAGGAATCGGGCGATTTTCTTGAGGCTGAGCCATCATTGGATGAGGTGCTCACCGATTTAGATAGCTATCAGTATTTAGATGAGCTGCTGCCTGAACAACGCGACTTATGGGAAGAGGAGTCGCTCGGCTATGGACTCGCTGGCGGCGGTACACGACCACATTACTTGAATGATGGCTTCCCCTTGCTATTGAACCTCTATCGTACGCAGGAGGAGCTAGAGCAAACTCCCACGCAGATCCTCGAAAAGGGGCAGCATAATCGCGATATGAAACCACGCCAACAGCAATATCAACAACATGAGCCGCAACAACAACAGCAGTATACTTTTAGCGGCGGTGTAAAGCACCGTAATGTTGGCGGTTATGGCATTGGCAGCGGCACCCGCAGCGACGGTGCTGGCTACAATAACCAACCTCAACCGAAGTGGCAACACAAGCGTTCACAGAAGCCGCAGCCACAACATCTACTACAAATGCAGCATAGTATATTTGATCAACAACTACAAAAGCAACAGAGGCAACAACAACAGCAGCAAAAACAGTTCCACCACCAGTATGTTACATTGCAGCCCGGCCGCGACAAACTTTCGCTTGCCAACTCAGAAGCGACCGCCACGAAACACATTCAAGCGAGTGGTGGTAACAACAACAGAAACAACAATATTAATAAATTGTCAAGCGATTTGAATGCCAATGCGTTCCAACTAAAAAGTTCCTCCAAACCAAAGGTGTTGACCGACGGTGTAGCCATGAGCATCGTACAGCGACAGCAGCAGCAGCAACAACAGAAAGATTTAAAAGAGTCGACGCAGCAGCAACAGCAGAAGTTGGCCAAGCAAAATGCTGACGATAATGATACCGCAACAGTTGATAAATTAAAAGCACAACAACAACAGCAGAAACAACAAAAACAACAAAAGCGACAGCAGCAATACAAAACCCATCAAACATCGTCACCACAAAGGCAGGAGTCCTTCTTGCATCCCAACCGCAAGCGCTCCGGTAGCAATGGCGCTGGTGCCGTTGGTGCTGTCGGTAGCACAGCGACGAATAACGGTTACTCCTCCATGGCGAGTCAAATGATGTTGCGTACTGCGCGAGGGCAACGGCAGTATGATGTGCCACAAATAGGTGAGTGAAATAATAACTAAATGAATATTTCCTTTTTATCATTTTAAAAAAAAAAATTTTTCATTAAAATTGGTGCGCAACGAAATAAATTTGAATTTAAGAAAACAACCAAGACGTGTCCTTGCGTGTAAAACAGGACAGAGAATTAAATAATCTGAAAGCCACGGCGCCTTCTAAAGTGAAGCAAAACCCCAAAATATTTTAAATGTTTTCTTTAAGAGCCTTACTGTTCACCAACAAATATTTGGGCTCTATTTTATTTTCAAAATAGCTTTCCATCTGAATGTCAATTTATTTGGTTAGTTATTTACGTTTCTTTCACAGTACCTAAGAGTGCCGTTCGTTTTTTATATTTTTTGTAATAACCATTTTTCCGAGGATCTCTTCTTCTGTCAAGTGTCACCTTCTCTATAATTCTTTAACTCCCTGTTTGATGGAATTCTCGACAACAGTAATAAGTACAGCTATCACTGGAGTGCTGGGTTTTTCTGAAAGCCTTAAGGCGTCTGCTCTTGTTACAGACGTTGTCAGGTTGGCTTTCGCTGTGGGTTCCGTGTGGATTACTAAGCTACTATTTTTGTCATGTTTTTTATAGCCAAAAATTAATAGGCGCACCTGTTTACGACATGTGGGCTTCATGCGGAAACACGATAATTTTTCAATTAAGTCAGACTTATATTAAAATAAATTTTTAGAGAAACATGTTTTTTTGCTTACCACTCGACCTACAAAAGAACACCCAGGTAGCTTATTTTCAACTGGCTTATAATTTGCATTCCCCTTACAACGCAGGTGTTAGCTGGAAAGATTTATAAAATAAAATTTCTGGTGAATAAATATATATAAATAGTAGAGCTCAAGATTTTACTCGAACATTTTCGAGCAGCTTGAGCTTTTAAGCAACGAGTACTCGCTCGCACATTCGTTCATTGTTCATTGCTCAAAAATTTTCGCGAACAAGCTCAAGCAACTCGAGTTTTTTTTTATAGAATTTTGAGAGAAACATTTTATTTTTTCCCAGAACTTCTTGCCATACTTTTAAATTTATTTATATATCGTGGAAAATTTCTATGGAATTCTGAAGAAATTTCAACAAACTAAATTGAAAATTGAAAATTTTCAAAAAAACATTTGAGCAGTTAAGCAAGGAACGCAGGTTGAGCGAGTTTTGAACTGCAGGCACTGCTCGGAACCCGGATATCTAGATCTTTTATACATGGAATATATAATAATAAGTATGAGCTGAGGTTGAATTTTTGTGCAGTTGAGTCTGGAGTACGTAAGCACCAGCAGCGAAAGAGATGTAGGCAACAAAACCTGGACCAATATGATCAGAAGGCCGAGTTAAGTTAAGTTATCCACGTTCGTCTGCTCCTCTGCCCGTATGTTTTTACCGAAACTAGTTGCTAAGTTTTTGAGTTATTTCAATCGATGCACTGTTATATTTCACCGATTATATACCGGAACCGGCCAGATCGCAGCAGTATTTCAGATTTAGGCCTATAAAGCTTGAGATTCGTCATTATCTCATACATGTAAATTAAAATAGATATTGACCCTGAAAAATATCAAATCTAATTTCACGTTTTGCAGATGATTTAATAAGCTCATGAAAGGTACTTAGGCTTCGACAATTATTAGGCGCGGTTTTACTTACTGTTTCATTTGGAAGTGTCAATGAGCACTCGGTGATTTTAACAGGACCATTCACAATAGCGTACATCTTTTTACTTTTTACTTATTATTATCCTTTTTAAAAATTATTATCCAGATCGGGTATTGTATAAGCGATTTCAACTCAAAACGGTTCAATTAACTCAAGATGCTTATGTTGTGTTTCTTCCTATTCGATAACCTACCTAAGGTTCTTTTGCAGGTCGGTTGTAATGGAAAACGCCTATTAATATTGTCTTATTTTGGCAACAAAAGTGTTTATTTTCAGTTTTTTGAATTCTGGATTGGCGCCCTTTAAAGATTTTGAGCTTGAATATTTTTTTTTAACATCCAGAATTTCAAAAGCTAAATGGTGCATGTCTTGCGAATATACATTATGTAATCATTCATCAGCTACATGCTAATTAATACTAGTTGATATATCATTCTATAGAAATGAAAAAAAAGTTGTCTGAACAGTGATCTGGTATTACTTCAGTTTACATATATAAGTTTAAAACTAAAATTATTTTCTTACAAAGAATGGGTTTTTTTGTAAATCTTTTAAGTTGGTTGCAATAGAAAAAGAAAACGTAGGGAAAAAATCTAGAAACTACGATGATACATACATACGTGTATACATATTAGAAACTGATATGTGCTTCTGACTACCTCCTTGCCTTATTGCATATACTGTACAAATGTATGGATGTACGCATAAGCGCATATATACTTAAATCACCAATTTTATTTACTATCAACGAAAAATCTGACCCTTTTTAAAATTTAGTTGTGAAAAGTTTTGTTTTACCATCCATTGTCACGCAGCCACTGGTTGCTTTAGTAAAGAGTTGAGTGGTGTATGAATGTAAGAATTGTATGCATGTGTTTGATAGCGGGTTGAGTGACATCCTGTACAATAAAAATATTATGCTTGCTTTCGTATTCAATTTTAGTGCTTTGGGGAGCAACAGAAATTTCATTGAGTTCACATTTGATAGTTGACAGACTTTGAGAATAGTCGTCTATGTTCAGAAAAGTTAAAAGCGTGAAAGTAGATGAAAAATATTTATAAATAAATACAGTAACAAATAATGTATATATATATATATATATATATTTATATATTTAGTGCTGGTTTATTTTCATAGCGTTATTCTTTCCATATCCTTTTTCCACTTTCCAAAATTAGATTTGTGTTCTGTCGATTGTCTTCTTTTCATTCATAACTAAAATTTGAATCGATTGCGTTTGGTATGCCAACAGATACATACTTATATGAATATATATTCCTATTGACACTCAATCATATTATACCGACGCTCAAATTAATTTGAAAAAATAAGAGAAAAAAGTCATTGTTCGTTACAAGTTCTTCAGTATACAAGCGCTTTGTCCTTATCTAAATATGTGTGTATGAATGTGGTACCGGGTGTGGTGGCAGATAACCGTAACGAAAATTTTCTCTACAATATATACACAACAAATTTGTTTAGAAATATTGATTTCGAAGGAATGTGTAATCGAAGTATTGTACTTCTGTGCTGCGATTATTCATTTAAAGTTTTCAAAATGTCCTAAAATATAAAAAGAAATAATAAAAGAAATAAAATATAATCAATTAAAATAAAATAAAATAAAATAAAATAAAATAAAATTAAATTAAATAAAATAAAATAAAATAAAATAAAATAAAATAAAATAAAATAAAATAAAATAAAATAAAATAAAATAAAATAAAATAAAATAAAATAAAATAAAATAAAATAAAATAAAATAAAATAAAATAAAATAAAATAAAATAAAATAAAATAAAATAAAATAAAATAAAATAAAATAAAATAAAATAAAATAAAATAAAATAAAATAAAATAAAATAAAATAAAATAAAATAAAATAAAATAAAATAAAATAAAA